CCAAACCATTGAAAGTTTCGTAANGAATGACAGGCAGGCAGGCCAGGCCGACCAAATTAGTTGACAGGCACAGGCAGGCTTGAAATGCAAAGGCCTGTCACGGACCGGCCAGGCCTACAAAAACACGGCCTGGTTGATGCTCTGATGCACACTATTCGAGTATTTCTCAAAACCCGAGTATGGTATACATCAAATAAATCAAAAGTAAGATGAAATAGTCTTTAGAATAATTTTCCTTGAATGCAGAAAACTACTCTGTAGACTATTTCATCTTACTTTTGATTCATTTGATGTATACCATACTCGGGTTTTGAGAAATACTCGAATAGTGTGCATACCGCGGGCGGCAGCAGAGGGTTAAATGATATTTTTAACGGAACCTTTGTCGGGTACGAAACCTTTTTTTGAATGATTTCTAAAAGGTTTTGTACGAAACCATTGCTACGAAACCCTTTTTTTGAATTTTTGTGAAGGGGGTTGATACGAAACCTCACTTTTACAAAACCAAAAAAAAGGATCTGACGGTGTACCGAGGATAAGAACCTTTTTTAGGTTCTGTGAAAAACCTATTTTTTTAGAGTGTAGTCTCGCTCGTTTCTCGATTAGCGAATATTGGATTCTAAGACATGATCGAGTAAGAGTTTCTCCAAATATGAAGCTCAAAACATAGAGAAAATAACAGATATGGTTTTTTCCAGCCTCTAGAAGTCTACCAACCTCTCTTTAATTATTATGAAATGTTATACGTAGCAAGCATCAGATACATAGAGTTATGAAAACTAAAAATTAATTCTGCGTATCTCTTTTCATAGACATGCGTCGATCATCGATTAAGGTGAAAAACCATCTATTCAGCCATTTTCCGACCCCTGGAGGCAGTTCATGGTACTCTTGAATCCCTATATATATATCCTAACATTCAACTTGAAAGTGATAATTGAGGTTAAGAATCGCTTTCATATACTCTATCAAAAATGCTGTCGATCATTCATGATGCCCATAAACTCTTTCCAATATCGTTTCTTAGAGGGGCTCACGAGCATAATATTTTAATCAGCCCTTTTTAGACTGAGTTTCGAAGATTATATAAGAACGTTCATGTTAATTATCAACCCTTTTCAGGGATTTATGAAAGTGCAACGTGTCGCAATTCCTTTAATGGTTTATGAATCTTATGAATCATTCAATAAACCCTTCCAGAAAGAGTATTTAACATTGATAAACTCCATATTAAACCCTTTTTAGAGGGTTTATAACAGGGTTCATGACTATTTGATAAACGGTTGAAAAGGATTTGCTACACGTTGCACTTTCATAAACCATTTTTTCGTTTTTTATTCTGCGTTTTTCTTTTACAGTGTAAGTAAGAACAAACTACATATTGCACGTATCGAGTGCAATATCACTACTGCATTTGTGCAAGAAGTAGTGAAAGAACGAAAGAATGATTGACTAATATGACAGACAAGGCAAGGCATGGTTGAGTATTTCACTCGAAGACTGCAATAATCCATGCACCTGGTTGGATTGTTACACATATGAGAATTCAAATGGGTATAGTCATTTCACTTTACTTTTCTTGTTTGGAATAAAAATGAAAATAAATTATTTCTTTTTTAAAGATTTAATTTTGAAGCTCTGCAAAACATACTAACTGACAATCAAGATAAGTTTTTTTCAATTGGAAAAGCACAACAGAGTTGACGATTTTATTCAAAATTCTGGAATGAAATATGCTCTAGTCAATGAAATCATCAAGCGAGTACTCAAAAAGTACTCACGCTAGAAAATGCCGCGAGATCTCATGAGTACTCGGGACTTTGAGTACTCATTAGTAGTACCTGTGCTTGGATCTGAGTATATGAGTACGACTATTGAGTACTCGCCTTATAAAATCGAGTGTTTTCTGACTACTCATCATATATTCTGTGAGTACTCTGGTGGAGTTTTCGTAAAATACTCAGACACATATGTTTTTTCAGTATCCTTTTACTAGATTTAATTTATTTATTTCAAAAACTAATAATAGAACAGTGAGTTACACGATAAGAATCTGAGAAACGAAGTGTTTCATCGTCTAAAAATTTGTTTAATTATGACTCAGAGATAAAACATTGATCCACAGACTGTAAGAAAAAATGAATAAAAATCTGTATTCAGAACACTATAACATATATAAACACAAACACACATGAGAAATAAATTATGGATCAAATTAAGATACTTGATAACAATACACATTCACTTTAGATCGTTACAAAAATATGAACATTTTAAATCGAAAACTATAATCGTTAAGTAAAAAATAAAAAAATGTATGAACTGTCTTCTATAGTATTGATGCTTCTTCAGAATATTGAATATCATGTTTTTAGAAAAATTTTCACATTTGTCTTGTGTTTCATTAATTTTCACAAAAAAAAATATTTAAAACGATATTTCATCTTTGATTTAAGACGTAAAATTTAACACATAATTTTATATTTTCAAATAAATATTTGGTCTTACTCGAGAAACGAATAGGTGAAATGAAATGACTTTATTTTTTCTATTCTTTAAATAGTCAATTGATTAAGCTACATGAGTGACTCATCACAAAAGATGGAAGATACAATTGATAATTTATCTAAAGAGTTCTTTCGTAATTTTCGTTTCATTATATAGTTGTTATTAATTAAGTAAAATTATTTTTATTTTATGCATCCTAGTGCATAGATGTTTTGTTGAATGCCCTTTGAAAAACAACGATGAGTACCACCTCGAGTACTCGTATTTTCAGGTACGAGTAATTCTTAAAGAGAAAACTCATTAGAGTACTCGTCATAGTACACGAAAAGTATAGTTACACATAAAATTCATCGAGTACTCACTCGAGTAATTTGAGTACTCATGTTGCAAAGTCGTACTCGCTGGGCGAGTACTTTCACTAGGGTGAGCTTCTCTATTTATCTAAACAAAAGAAAAGGAAATTAATATCTTGCCAGAGATCTGAGCTTTGTTTTTGCCTTTCTTAAAGGGAGTTGGAAACATGAATACCCATATGATACATAGATCACTTTTCAATGTTATAAAGATTAGGCTCCCTTCAGATTACATTGAACACAAGACAATTATTAAAGATCTTAACATCATGCAAAAAACTATCACATTAATATGCAGCATATAGTTATGAAGGGATTGATGAGTAAATTAGCTGCGTTCTACAAAGCGTTTAATAGTCTGTCTAGAAGCTTATTCGATAGAATACTCACTTTTTACAACAATGTCCATTCCGTTTTTTCAAATGGTGATCATTATCGAGTGAAAATCAAAGGATAGACACTTATACAATCCCCTGTTTGTGATTTACTATCGGTACATACGAGATTTATTCACCCATCAAAGCCTAAAATGACGAACTTTAATGTAACAAGCATTCAATTATCTTGAAGCCTAAATAGAGTAATCAGTGGTAGCTTGTAATTTATTGAACCTGCCCTCTGTTTAGAACACTGTTCTTAATTAGGAAAAACTGAATAAAATGCATAGAAAATTTAATATTTTTAGTAAATTATATCATGTCTTTTATCATTGAAACTCGAAATATTTTTATGCATTCATCCCTACAATTTGTCTTTCGTGGATAGTACGCTAATTTCTTATTGATAACAACTATAAGAACTTATTCTGCACCATAATCCTACTGTTGTATAAGTCTTTTTCTTCTCTTGTAAAAAGCTTTCTAGGATAATTTTGATTAAATTTATAACGAACACGCGTACGTTGAATAAAGCTTTGATTATATGTAGTGATAGCGAAGAAGAATCGAATAAAATTAGAGTTAAATGAGAAAAGAGTTACAAAATTGAATGAATAATTACTGTGTGTGGAGTCATATAGACTTCTTACTTGGTCGACCAATACAAAGTTCATATACAAAACTAAATGAAGACTGTAAATGAAACTCCATATAGGAGAATCTTAAAGGACCTCTTTGGTTTTTGTGTCTTCACATAGAGGTAGTAACGACAGTGGTTGTTTGATGCCGTTCTACACATTACAAGGAAAATTGAAATTTTGGTAAAAAAGAACTGGCGAGTGAAAGTTGTAGATTGTTACACTCTAAAAAAGGTTTTATTACCAAACCTGTATCCAAATTAGGTCATTATCTTCTAATCTAGTTTAGATTCAGCAAATCAGTATGAAACCCCATAAGTTCTTCTCTTGGGTACAGGTTTGGTAATAAACCATCTTTTAGAGTATAGTTGACGGTAATGTTCATATTCGGATCAAATAAAAACTTTCATTGTCAAGCTAACTAATTTAAAGTATACGTTACCCATAGCGTACACAAAGCGATTGCTCACACTAAAAAATCAAATAATTTTTTGTGTTTTTTTGTTCGTAACGGTTGGGTAGAGTATGATGATCACACGTCTATTCAAAAGCAATTAAATATATATATATATATATAATTGCTTTTGAATAAATGATTACTATAGTAATCATTTATAGCGTTTACTATACCATTATATTTAACAATCATGCCATGTTATCTTGAATTTCGTATAATTGCTTTTTTTATATGCTTGAAATATTTCTTTTTATGTAGCTTTTTTTTCTCTATTCGATCATGACAAAAAACACAGATGATGATTCAAGTTATTGGCGTGCGCATATGACAGAGTGTTCATATCTCTTCTCCTGCAACCGATGATGAATAAATAATGAAGAAGTGATGACTTATTTTTCATTACTTTTTAAAATGCATCAAACATTCTATTATAGGGGTTAGTGGAAAATGTCGAAAGGAAAAGATGGAAGAGAGAAATAGAAATGATTATCATATTCTTTAGACGTATATTATGTGCTATGTTTTATTGGTGAAAAATAAAATAATGGTGATATATAATAAGGTTGATACTATTTTTTTTTGTTTCCAATTAACAATGATAAACCCGTTAGTAATTGATTGCAATTCATTTCTTTCTTCAGAAATCTTTCTTGAAGATTATTGAGTATCATTTGGAAAGCTTTTGTTTTTTTGACTGTTTTGGTATAGAAGCTCCAGTATCAAGCTGTATCGATGTATGTTCAAAACGAACATGTTCACATTGAATTAATTGTATAAAACTCCAAATATTTGGATGTTTTCTAGACAATATAGCTGCGAAACGAAGGTTATAAGCTAAAATATACAAATAATTCTCGATTATGATTTGAAACAAAATGGAAACGAAGAGTATTCTTACCTTCTGATGTATTATTAGTTCGATGATCAACATTATGAAAATTCCACATTTCAATAGGAACAACATCATAGATTCGCTGGCGCTTGAAGTAAAGTAGTAAATCACCTAATGATGTCGACATAATTATTTGTAAACGTTTAAATTGATTCTCCACTTCATTAATCGGGATGAGACTTAAAATCATTAGCTGGCTACATTGATCACGAATACTTTCATTGTGTAAATAATCATTCGATAAACTCAAAGCTGTAATTTTTCGATGAATTGCTTGATTGAAATGAAACATACAACCGGAGTGAAGTGCTTTAGGGAACTAACAAAAACGAGATAGTTTTAAACATACTAAACGGAATTTCTAAATATAAAATACTTACTGCTTGTTCAAGTATAGGCATTAAACCAGGTTCATAATCCGTTACAATCCGTTTTGAATTAACTTGTTTCCCCATAATATTAGCTTGTTCTTGTAATTGTTCCATAAGTGCAGTATACGTTTTTCCACGTTTATTTGGTAAAAGACAAAAAGCAACTGGTAAACCTTCCACACAAAACTACAATTATAAGAATTCAAGATATTATAAATAATTTCTCACATACCGTGGTCAAATTTATGAACATGTATCAAGTACACTTGTTTGAAATTTGCTGGTGATGTATCAAATGTACCGTTCATAAAAATTGTATCACTTTCAAATAATAATTCTAGTTGTTGATCACTTGCAAAGACAAGAATTCTATCTTGACCACATTTAAGAAACAAATCACTTGTTAAAAATTGTTCATTTGAAAGCGTTTGTTGATATAACTCTGGAATTTCGAACATAACAGTTGATGGTATAACAGGTATGATTTTTCGACGTGCTTTAGTCATATTAGATCCTTAATATTAAAAACAATTCATACAAATAGATAATTTTACAAATGTGCTTGTTTTACATACGATGTTCGATAACAGTTGGTAAAATTGCTGCTGCTGCTTTCATTGTTTTCTTCATCATAGATTTTTTGTAATGGGTATTGATTCAGTTAATATTCGTTCTTTCATTTTGTCTCGTAAAAGTTTAGCTTCCAGTTGTTTCGGACTTGAAAGATGATTATGAACATCGTTTAAACATATCAATTCCTTGTTAAGAGTTGTATGCACATATACACTACAACCTTTTTCAGTACACATCCAATATTTTTTCCGAGCTGTTTTTGTATTGCATCGGAATAAGTAATTATCACATAGAATTAATGAATTCCCTTTATTCGAAATAACAAATGAAATTTAAACTTTCCCACTCTTTACTAAAGTATCTTCAAAGACTATAGGCGAGTCCAATCGATGAGAAGCTAGCACGACTGAAAAACAATTTCATTCGCTAACGAAATAAACCAATAGCAAAAATCAAACCGAGAAAGACACCATTTTAACGGTTTGACCCACTATTATGGAAGCAGCCAGCTGCGCCTGAAAAGTAATCAGCAAGGCGATCATAGCACTATAAGCGATCATGAATGGATGTGTCATAATCCAAACCAGGAAAACCGATCACCTACCATCAGAGTTCCATCGAGAATGCGACACATACAACCTCAGCATCGAAATATTTCCAAAGTTTATATTATCCAAACCTCACACTTCCATAAAATAACGTCATAATCCCAGCCTTACCGCTTAAAAGCAACTTTCCACAAACCACAAACAGAAAAAAGAACTTCAAAAACCTATTAAAACACACATCCATCGCTACTCCATATCAAAATCCCTTCCAGATATCAACCGCTGCAAAAACGACAAGAAACTCATTTCTGAATCACTACATCTGTAAACCGATCGCATATATCACCGTCCGCCCATGAAAAGTTCTCACCATACAATAGAGAACTGGTAACTACGACTTGATTCAAAACAAGCTCCGCGCACCGATAATACGTTTCATTGCCCGGCTATGAGCTGTCCACCACTCGATAGAGAATTCATTTCTCTACCAGATGATATACACTGTAAAAAAAAGGGTAGAATAATAAACCCTTTAAGGGTTTATGAAAGTGCAACGTAGACTAAACACTTTTACCGTATGTGAAAAGTTTCTTAATCCCTTTCATATACCCTTAGAAGGGTTTATGAAAGGGTATTTGATTTTCATAAACCCTAAAAGGGTTTAGTCTACGTTGCACTTTCATAAACCCTTATAAGGGTATTTAATTTTCATATACCCTTTCATAAATGCTTCTAAGGGTTTATTACAATTTCCATTCAGACAAGCCCCTTAAAAAACGCGTTAACAATCTTTCAGAAAAAGAATCCAAAAACAAATGAGTAGACTATGATTCTTTTTCGTTTGTGTTTACAATGCGCATCACAACGTATTTTTTGTAATTTATCGATCCGATTAAAATTTTGGAACTTACTGCGTTGTCCTAGGTTCGATCATGAGATGTATTGGTTGATAGTCCAAGATGTTATCCATTCAGTCAGTCGCATGATATCAATATGAAGTAAGAAATGCTACTTAAATCAAACGAAACTTGATAGGAAACTGAAGATGATATAAAGTTAAGCGGAACAATT